TTGAAACTAATTTTAATATAAATTTCTTGTTTAGGCAACGAAACTTTCCACTCGGTCCTGTAAGATGTAAATCAATTGCAGGACCTGGCACAGCTAGAGGTAGCCACTTAAATTACTATGCGAATGTCGTTTAGACAATTTCTAGGAAATAATTTTCTTATATTGGAATACTTTTGCTATATCCCTTCGGTGATATTTTACGAGGTGATTTTCATTCTCTTCTTGGCATACTTATATTTTGTCAAATAGGAATCGTAAATGAGGCTGTTTATTACTGGGCTGCCCTTAACATCGTTCCTTGTACGCGCCGAGTTATATCTTTCACAAGTGAGGCCCACGTGAAGCTGTAGTATAACGAGGCCGAGGTCTCGAGTGTCACGAGCAAACCTTTACCCGTTCGTTAACGCTTTCATCTCGTTTTCGACGTTCCATTTCTTTTTAAGATCCTCAAAATGCGATCCCGTGTTGTGTATCCTGTGCACTAATTCTAGAACTCGGAGAAATCTCGTTCGGAAATTAATGTTGAGAAAATCGCGATTATCGCTGATCTTCGAGTAGGAATTATATAGAGAGCAGCGATAGAGAAAATCGAGTTGTAACGGGGACATTCGAGGCTCGCCCCTCGTTCTAGAGATGCGCGCGGAATGCCGCGATCCGTTTAACGATTGAACGCCTCGAAATGGCACCGCTAATTCCTGACTTCGTTGAGTAAAGAGTGAACGAAAGAGAGCTGGAACGCCCGTCGTCACTTTATAGAAATATTTCCGCCGTTATTCTTACCAAGTGAGGAAATGTAGCTGCGGAAATATGTTCATTTTCGCAAAAAATGATGTAAAATTCACAATGTACCGAGGAGCAGTTCTACAATTTTATCGTCGGACTCGGTCGGTTCTATTACATCTATTATTTTCTCACTTTACTGTCAACCCAAAAGAATAGCGTCGAGTGATTTATGAGTTCCAGCGTCACGTCAAACGATGTAATATCGTTTGTCTAGATTCAACCTTTATTAATGCCCGCATTTATTTCAACGCGTTCTAAACACCTTTGTACTTGCTTTGCCGCCGTCTACTCATTTTTATTCATTGCTGTTTACGTTGCAAAAACGCGTCCACGAGATAGCGCGTTCTACACGAAGACACGTCGCTTATATCGGCGACAACCGATCTTTGCCTGTCGAGTTACGTGATCGCATTTGCGAGCCGTCAGAAACTTCTCCAGCGACATGTAATGATCATCTTCACCGCATAACGGGCATCTTGAAAATCAGTTTCGAGACCGTTACCGCTGTCGGAAAATGCGCGGAGAGGCGAGAAAACTGCAGTCTTCCCTCTTACGCGCGTCTTTCGAGAAATGCTGAATTTAGAAAACCTTGGCAGAAAGAGAGCGAAGCCCTCTTGGTGGTCCGCAATGCAACGTCGCTGCCAGACCATCGAGTACTTCCCTTTCCCTTTTGTATCTTCCTTTTTCCATCTTTTTCACACCGCAACCGTTACGTAAATATAAGTATCGTAATAATAAGTCTTCGCTTTTAAAACGACTGATTAAAAAAGAAGAACTTCTGACAGATCATACTCTAACGATATAAATTTAATAAAGAACGTCGTCTTTTTCGAATAATTTCCAGTAATTCGCGATTAAAACTGTAACGAGAACCGTTTACACGTCGCGCGATGACGGCGACTATTGTGGCAAACACGTTTTAGAGATTAACTGTCGTGCCGTTTAACATCTATTGTCGCGCCTACGTCGGATCGCAAGTAGTGCAGTCGTGAGATGAAGCCGACTATGAGAATCGGGAATGGGATAAGACACGTTTACGGCCAGCTCGATCGACTCTCCGCGTCTGCGGTCGTTACTTTGTTGAAATACCGATGCGTCGTTCAGCAATACTTTACCGAGCGACTACGAATTTCAGTTAGCTCCCTAATCGTGTTTCGAGCATAAATTGATTGCAGAGATCAGAACAAGCTTTAAAAATTACCGCTTTATCAAATCGTAAAGAATTATAACACACATCATTTAAAAGTTAATAGATGTGTTCAGTAATTTTGATTCTGAGATTATATAATTTCATAAATTTGTGTGAAAATTATAATCTTTCAAGAAGTACGTTTCAAATGTTGTTAGAGAAATGAGACCGAAAAGGAAAAGGGAGGAGAGCGGATGTGTTCGTCAAATGTGTGATGTATGCCGAATCAGAGTGCTTAGAAAAATATATACTCTGTCAAAGCTCAAACAACATAAGCTTATTAAAAGCTTATTTGCGATTATTCGCCCGAGTACGAGATCTGCTTTGTGACATACAAAAGTGAATTATTTATCAAATAATTGAACAATGTACACAGAGAGAAAAAAATAGTCATTTTTGGACCCAACCATATTTTTGTAATTCTCCCAACTACGTTTTTTTTTTTACAATATTTTACAATACAATTATTGTATATTACTAAATTAAAAGCTCGTTTTGGTTTATGACAACCATATCATAAGTTGCATGGACCAATATTGTGTTTATGAGAACTATAACATTGTTAGGTCAACCATAACTTACGTTGGAGGAATTATAAAAATATGGTTAGGTCCAAAAATGACTATTTTTTTCTCTCTGTGTATCGTCTCGTTGCGAGTTTTACAGGTCGATAGAGAGAATAAATATAAAATAATTTCATAAACTTAAAGGGAGCAGTTATAATACATCGTTAAACTTGAAGAATCGATCGCAAATTCGTAGAAGGATCGATTCATCGTTAAAATTTGATCCGGCAGAAGTGGGTCACGTCACTTGTAGGGATCTCGATACTCGAGCCAATGGCTTTGTACATCTGCTCACAGTTTTTACCGAGCTTCCGGGACTTCTTAGTAAAGGGTCCAAGGGATTAATCGAGATTAACGGCGGGGTCAATTGAAAATGCAACGGCTGGGCGAGGCATTCAGCGCTCGTTCCGCGCGAGAGATCGCCAGACGAACAGTTACTTCGGGATAGGGTTAATCCATAGAGATTCTATGCCATTGTTCCCAGTGGCCCGCATTTACATATCGTACAACGCCAGCTCCGACCCGAGCGCGAAGAGAACGTAAGGTGGTAAAGCTTCACGCTGCACTGACGATAAGAGAAGTTATCGCGGAACATGTAACCGCCGATCCTTCAACTTACAACGAAACTTCAAAACAAAGATTAGTCGCGTTGGATCGATCTAGTATACGCGCAGTTAAATCGTCATCGATGCGTTGGCATATTGGACGCGTAAATTTAATTAAAATTAACGCGTTGTATATAAAACGACTGGGAAGAACTTCTCTTCTTGAACCCTTGGCAAAATTCAACGGCTGCTTTAAAATAATATCTACAAATGAAATTCGTTTCTCAGAATCTGTAATTAAGAAATTTAATATAATAATAAGAGTCTGCCTGTGAAATCGAATAAGTTACCACATTTAGTCGCCGAGTTAAAATTACGAAGGACGTTTAAATCTTTCCACGTGGAGTCTCCGCGTTCACATATTGGATATTAAATAGATCGACAGTTAAATAAATCAGCGCTCAAATGGGATTATCGAGAGAGTCGGTGCTAAAGGTTATTATTATTCTCATCGTATGATTTCACTGACGAAACGGTGTGCATTTCCTTCCTTCATTAGCCCGCTTATCCGCGATCACTGATATTTATCTTGGAATCACGTGCGCGTACTAAGCGGAGAAATTCAAGTAGGCAAGAATAGCCGCAATCTCATCGCGAGCGGGATTTTCCGCTGCAGGTGTGCAATAAAGACGCGCACGCTTGCGACACGCGATACGACCTGCACTTGCCAAATTCGGAGTCCGCAAAATAATGAAAAAAAGAGCAAAATCGCATCATCCGATTCACGGCAGGTTGATCGCGACGTCTCGTTTTAGAGACGCGCCGCTGACATCGCGGATCGATTAACCGCTGGTCGCGCATCGATCAACGCGTTACGCAATTAAGGGATTCCCTCCGTGTCGCCGTGCCATTCGATCTTTGTCAATTTACGAGAGATTCTATCGCGATTCCGCGCGATCGCGCAATTTCGCCGCGAAAATCTTCTTTAGAAGATTTTACCGGTACTGAAATATTTTTAGTTTAAGGCACGATTAATCATTTTCTCTCCTCTCTCGCGATGAGGATTACCTCGGGGGAGAAATTATTATGGAGGAGAGATCTCACCGAAAAGCGTTATGCAATTTAGATTGATGTTCCTTGAGCATGCAATTTCTTCGTGCTTAATTGATTCGGCCGCTCTTTCTGCGATATATTTTAAGCAGCGGTTAACGTATCAGCGCGGCGCATCGATCATTTCAACAAACAATTCACGGGTACCATTTGCAAGAGATAGTCTTATATCTAGTGTTGAAACTATTTAAAGAACGTCTATTTTCCCTCTCAAGGGTCACGCGCCCATTACAGCGTATTTCACACTGTATTATGCGGAATTTGCATTTCGCGTTAAATATACGAGCGTAATAATAACCGCTCTCTTAGAATTATCTAATCGTTAGCCTCAGGATTACGCTATTATCGCGCGTCACCGACCAGCAAACTGTGTTAAAGAAAGAAAAGAGAAAGAAAAAGTTACAACATTGATGCATAACATACCTTTCGGACTTGCGTCAATATTTATTAATATCATCCTCGATCATCACGTTCGCGTGTTATAATAAATTAGTGAACTTTTGATAAACTCTGATTATCGACTATGCCCGACAGTTCGAACGTAGTTGGCTTTGATAAATAAATTATAGAGCCAATAAATTATACGACACATGTACACGTCCTTCAGCGTAAATATTGATCGGTATCTCCATTATTGCCCACTTGTAATAATAAATTTATGTTCGAACTCTCGATGATGTATTCCGTATAGAACAGTTTCGAGTGAAATTGTCGAATAAATCGTTTTTACCATTAGCTTTCTCTCTCCCCCCTCCCCCCTCTCTCTCTCTACCGAGATAAAAGGAAAAAACGAGTGCAATTACTTGCCTTCGACGATCTGCTCCTTCGTCGCTAGAATCAGAGGAATCGCGCCGGAAGCACTCATGATGTCTGCTGCAGCTCACCGTAGATGGTACCTTCACACGCGTACACACGCACACCGGGAGAGCGACAATACTATAGCAATGACATCCACAGTCTCCACAGTCTCGGCGGGATCGATTTATCGAATGACAGTTTCTATTTTCGTGCCAGCGCGGATTTCGCGCGCGAAAAAAAAGGGGGGAAAAAGTCAGGGAATCTCGATTGAAGAGCGAGATTCGCTCCCCCTTTCCCGTCGGAGAAGTTGGCGGTAAACTCTCGGCGGCGGATCTTCGATTTCAGCGGTCCGCGAAAAATCGCTCAGATCGGATTGAACGCACGGTTAATTCTGGAAGCATTTAAGCGACTGAACGATCCAGTAGAAAGCGCCGTCGATAGTTGGGCAGATTCGACGAATCCGAAAAACCTCGATGAATATTCACGCAAAAACTGATCTATAACGTTACACTTGACATAAATATCTCTTATAAGAGATATATCTATTCGTCACTTTTTTAAACACGTGCAATCTTTCCGCAATCTCTCTCTCTTTTACTGGCATTTTGCTACGACAACATTGCGTGACTTATCTAAATTATGTTTATACGCCCTTTTTTCAATTAATTACAAAAGTGTAATTATAAATTTATTGACGCAATTACTATATTCTTATGCTGCCTAAAAGGGAAAGAGAGGGGAATTAACTGTTTGAATAATTAAACTTGTTTGCAATCGAAAATATATTGGAAAATCACGGACGTTATTCCTCGGTTGCTTATAGAATATCGCTTGAAAATGTAAATAAGATTCCGATCGATCGTTAGTAAATTGGCTTCCAATTCGCTAATGCTTCAGGGACACGATCAAGCGCTCGTGACCCGACGGGGATTCCGTTTTTACAACGTTAATAAATACACCACAAAGCTTGAAAAATCGGATCAAAGCGACAATTAATGTCGGAAAATAAAGGACCTCGTTCGGCGGGATGAAGGGAGTAAACTGAAGGGGAGACCAGATCGCGGAAATAAATAAAAACAGCTCGAGAAAAAGCTAACAAAATTAACCGTTTAAAATAGGCGAGGCGCACGCGTGTGTCACGCTCATGGGCTGCCATTCATTCGTTCAATTTTTATCTTTTACCGTTTTATCTGCTTGATTAGAAGAGCGTGATGCCGGTTTACGTTGCACTCGTTGCGAGCGGTGCAACGTATTACGGGGAGAGGAGAAAAAAGGAGAGAGTTAACGCACGGCTCCGCTATTTCTATTACACGTCAGCGGTCGATAGGACGTAACGCTCATCCAGCATGCATCACGCCACATCGTCATGTAAACCTCTATACAGATACACACGAACAACAAGTGTTCGTAATACCGTTACCGTCGTGACTTTCGACCTGGAGGTACAAGAAAGCCGTCCGATTTAATTAGCGGCGACTGAAACTCGCGATGGGATCGCAAGATATACGAAACTTGCCAAGTATCGCGTGTCATTAGACGTTAAACTTTATTCATCGAGCATTTTCACGACCCCTTAATTTACTTGGTCCGTAATTGAGTGATATCGTATTCCCCTTTACGCGAACCGCGCCACGAGCGACAATAAAATTTTCTCGAGACTTTAATCGAGACGCAGCTCCCTTTCGTCACGTTCGCGCGACTTTTCGCGCCAATTAATTTGTACACGCGAGCACATCGGTACGTCTGTCAGCGCGCGAGATTTCTAATGCCACGCGCCATAATTGCGTTATGAGAATTGCATTACCGCGCGTGATATAAATTGTGGATATCGCGCGGATAAAGTCAATGTCGGACGGCTGTTTCGGTTCCACTGATCGTTACACGTCTCGTTCGTTTACGCGGAGCATCGATCCCGCATGTGACACTGCGCATTAACGTACAAACGATCTTTCACGTGTACGCCTCCTGTCCTTCTCTCTCGCTCTCCACCTCTCGATTTCCGAACGAGGTCGAGGGGAAAAACGTTGCCGTACGACGAACGAATCGAAAAAGTCTCGTGGTTGGTACTGAAAATTGACAGCGACACCTCCCACCCGGATGATAAATGGTGGATAAAACGATCCGTGAGTTCGGAAAGACCGAAAGCAGGACCGTTTTGCCGTCACACGGTGAATTATGATCCCCGGAGAAACGTGTCTCATCGTTGTTTGCAGAAATATTGCACGGTTCCATTAACATAACGTGATAATAACGTTTGCGACGCGACTTGCACTACGTTAAGTCAATAGACGTCGTAAAGCAAATGGCAATGCTGGGTGAGAGCAACGAGGGAAAATGTAATAAATAGAGAAATAATATCTTCGGCGGTAATATCGGTAACGGAAGCACGAGCGGAGATAACGGACGCTCCGTATAAAGAAACGGAGGCACGACGGCCTAATTCGTGGAAAATTAATAAATTAACACACTCGCATGTGCAACAAGTCGCTCTAGTACGTCGCGTTGTGCTACATTCGTTACGTCTGTGAAAGTGAATCGCCATGGTAAACGAGCTATCGCGATTCTTGATTAATTAACCGAACAAAACGTGAGCTAACGGGAATTCCTTCTATTTTCGTATAGGTGTCATCGATCTCAGTGTTGCTCGTCGATTCGCGTATCAACCAGCTGCTGCTAGTTGGAGATCGAAATAACACTATACGTTATATTTTCCGTATATCGCTTTTCTCTCCTTCCTCTCTGCCCGCGCGCGATTGTTTCTATTGAAACATTTATTTCTCAATTTATCTTCGCCGAATATTGCTTCTACTTGGAGCAACAACGTTTATAAATTCCTCATCACGAAATCTTCACGATCGATCATTCCTCATTTATGCCCATCGAACTACATGTTTCTCGTTTCTACCTCAAATTTATTTCTTGCCATTATCATGCCATTTTTATTGGACTACATACACAATCAAAAAGTTAAATAATAATGCTATTATTCGAGAACACGCGTAAAGATAATTGGTTTTATTTATTATCATAATACCGCGTCACTTTCCGCGTATAATTCCCTCGCAACCGTATAAAATAAGATTAGCGTAATCCGCGTTGCATTTGGTTGGAGCATTTCTTCCATTTTTAGCGCGACGTTAATTGTAAATATTCTGCAATATTTTTTATCTTGACGTAAAATTATTTCCACTGCTGCACTCTTAAGCCACTTTATCCAATAGTTGGATGCCTTAAGTAAGAATTTGTAAAGATAAAAAATTGAGGAATTTTTTTGCCTCCCAAGAAATTCTTAAAAAACTATCGCGCGCTAGCATTCTAGATCATTTTCCCGTCACGAACGAACGATCTATCCCGTAAAGAAGTTCTCGGGCTCATCTGGCGATACTTGAGACAACTTCCCAAAACTTCTCTTCGGGATCTACAGCAGATCGTCCATCGAGGATCCTGGAAAGGCGGCCTAGTTATACCCGGATAGGCTCGGAATGGGAATGGATCGATGAAGCCGCTGCCTTTTCTACTATCGACGTCACGTGATCTTCCAAGGATCAGTCCGACAATTTATTTAGATTACATTTCGATTTAAATAGTTGCTGCTTCAAACATATTCGAGGAGCAGTGAAATTTTACCAAACTTTTTGTCGCATAACTTTCTCGGAAATAATCGGGGATACCACGACTTAGATTCTTAGAATATCTCACGAGCTAAAAGATACAAGAACCGCTATTCCTGTCAATGTCATATCGTTCGAGAAGTTTCATGGTCATGATTGTGCGGAATAAATTATGCCGCCTTAAATAAAAGCGAGAGATTTTGATAAAGCGTTATTATAATACATTTAATACATTGAGATCTATCGTGAGGACGTGTCGATAATCCTAATAACGGGAAAGAAAATTGCCGCAAAAAGGCACTAAATTAGAATTGGTTTGTTTAAAATAATTGTCGCTTTGTGAAAGCCATTAACAATGATGTAAAAATCGATTGACATACAATGTGTAACGTTATGTGTCTGGATGCCTTCCTGCGATCAAGTATACACTGAAAGTACAGAACGATATAAAAGCCCGAATATTTTTCATACTTTCGTAACTTTTATATTTTTAATTTTTTATCTCATACTTCTTTATTATTCAATCTTTTACCTTTTATCCTATCAGTGCTTTTTATACTTTCCGCGTAACACAAAAATAAATGTATTTTTACTCTTATAAAGAGTTAATCATTTTTTTCTTTTCTACACATTCGTACTTCGGGATGCAGAATTTATAACAATTTATGTAACACGTAATATATATTTCTATATTTTACATGATAAATATATTCTCTAATTGACAAAAAATGTGTGAATTTATTAAAGACTGTCTCCTCGACACTTATATCATTTTGCATTCCAGGTTACTACCATTCTTTCCTCATAGGATGTTCGACTCACCCGAAACATTCCCTCCGTTCAACGAGGCCTTCGGATTTTTCCCCGAGAACAAAATCAAGAACCACCTGCGTGCCACGGATGAGGAAGAACCGAACAATAGCGCCCAACTATTTCTCGCGATCAACTCGAACGAACGAACGAACGAGCAAAACGCAACCCTCTTCTTCCCTCCGTCGTCGACGCTTTACACTCTACACGACGATCTAAGTCCGACCACAACGTAGACGTAGATCACTTACGATCGATCTGGAATGTCGCCCTCGGGCGGGACACTGCGAGACCGTTCTCCGGGCGACCCGGCGAGAAAGACGGAAATAGAAAGAGACTGAGAGAGAGAGAGAGGAGAAAGAGAGAGAGGGACAAGGTATATACGGCGAAGAGAAACGGAGAAGGTGTTAGCTCTCTCGTAAGGATCGAGTCGCGCGGCGTAATGACAATGAGGATCGGGATAAACTATCGGAGCGACGGGAGACGACGCGACAGCCAGGATCGACACACGCACAAGTGGTTTTTCGCGTTTCGCGTCGGGTGTCGGGGGTTGGCCTCTGCCCCACTCACCTGGTAGCCGCGTAGGGTGCGCACCTACTACTACCCGAGTAGAGGTAGGCTACCACCCGCCAGCGACCGACCCATCCGCTCACCACCTAGCCGCCACCCACTCCACCACCCTACTGCTCGACTCTCGCTAACGGCGAGTTAGGAGCTCTCTCTCCGACCGTAGATACGTTATGTACACACGCCTGTGTGTATGCGTGTGTCTGTGAGCATATTGACTACCTACGCGTACGTGCCAGATGCGGCCTGCGGGTTGTTAACGCGTTCCGCTGCCATTTGGCAAGGCAAACCATCGTCTCGCCGAATCTGATCTGGATGGCTCACCTGTTAACCACCGGAAACCCGAGGCTACGTTTCCAGCGATAACGGCGGGGAAAAAATGACTTCAACGGTAATGGCGGTTCATCAGCCGGAGGAAAAAAGAAGGAGCAGCCGCGATAGCAATTATCACTTGGTTCGCGTCCGTTATAGCGGAACACGTATATGAATCAACCCCACTGCGGGGAAGTTCATTTATCAGAGAGTTTTGTGCAAAGAGAACGACATGCCTTCTTGGAAAAATAGTTCGTTCTCTCTACGAGAAGTTAATTGAAACATTAATATACCATTTCACCCAATATTTCACAATTTTAAAAATTGACGACAAGACGTCGACGTAAGGAAATATACCTTTTAAAGTCTTTCATCAAAATAATCAAGTACACGCTTTTGTTTGGCTTCCCTTTCTGTTATATAATAGTTTACGTTTCTTGGCCGTATAAGAACCTTCGGAGGGAGAAAATATCGCGAGGCGAAACGCTGACCGAAATTAACGGAGTATCGGCACAATTCGTCCCGAAAAGGGTGTCCGCCCGTGGAATTCAATATCTCGGCGCGAGCGCGGCATTCCCTTCGAGGAATATATGTCGGTCCCGGTATGTGACATATGTATCTGTTGTGCGTATATCGCCCAGGCCACGATCCTAGGACACTAAATTTAAGAGGGAAGTCGGGGAGGGAGCTACCGTGTCCGGAGCACGTTCGTTAAGCGAACGAAGAACTGAAGATTGCGTCTGACCATGCTAAGACCTGCCCTCGCCGCCATTGACGGTCCGCCTTGCAGTACCCGCTCTCGTCCGACCGCAATCATACCTATTTCACTTGGTAATCGAACTTGGTGCGCCAGACGACGCGTTTGACAACTGCATGTAACAGCCGAAGTGTTCGCCCTGCCGGGAACGAACAGAAATTGCACGAGTAATATTCACGTTTCCCAATTTAGAATCAATACAATCTTACTTCCACGTCTGTTTATCGTCCCGAGGCGCGCAGGTGTGCCAAACTGACGCTCGGCGTTTCAATTTTCATTTTCAAGCGAGAAAAGGTCAATTGATCTCCTACAGAATCGCACGTGTGCAGCAAGAAAGGTCAATTTTGCTTTTATAACGACGCAACATCTGCATAAATGACAGAAATATTTATCAGCGCCGGGAACAACAGCGGCGTTTCGATCCGACTTGATTATAAATTGACAAAGCGTAGAAAAGTAACGACCGTTATAAATTAATATCGGCAGACCAATAATTTGCACCGCGCGATCCCCGCCGAGCTTCCGATAATTTCGTATGTTCGTTTAATACGTAGCTATTCTTCGCCGCTTGATAGAGTGGATAATTATACGCGATTGATATCTGGAAATTAACGACAAGATTGGATTAATATAAAACTATTTTCGTAATTTCCGGCGCGCTTGTTCACAACAGTTGTTCATTTTCGTCCATTAGAAACTGCCAACTGCGTAATAATCTTTGGCACGACGCGAAATAGTAGCATATAGATATAATAGCAAATAAATTTGCTATGCCTCACGCTCACATATTATATCAAGTGTTATATAATACACATAATGAGAGGCAGGGAAGTTTGTTTAAATTATGCATTTGCAATTAACAAACATCTGATTTTGCATTAATTAATATTGGCAGATATTGACAATTAACGTGGGAAAATTAATTTCGATGATTAATATTATTCGCAAAGGACAGGCTCTGGCAAACGTTGATCCTTGCTAATGTGAAATTAATTTATTCTCGCAGGCGTTTCGACACACCGGTAGACGGGGGTCGAAAGGGAATAATTTTTCGACTTCCGCTTCGAAGGAACGGGTTGGATTTACGTGGCGTCACGCGATCAAGACCAAGGCTTTCGGAAGGCTCTCGACCGCCCTTCGAGGCTCGAATCTTGGAGCTCTCGACGAGCAGAAAAAAAAGGCGTAGGTGGATCGCATGCTAGTCGCCAGTTAACAATCGAGGCCTCTTCGCATCTACGAATAAAACCGCGACATACAGCAGACGGCGCGGTAAGGTCACAGACAATGAACCTCGTTTCCAGTTCAGGGTCTGACTTGGTCGAAGATGACGACGACGACGACGACGCTCGCGATGGGCCATCAGCGTCACGTCCCTCGTGACCCCGCGATCGGAAGAGAAAACGATCGATCGAGATCGGATTGCGCGATTATACACCGTCATTTGCATCGCGTATACTATGGACGTCCCACGTGTCGGTTTTACCATGTACAATTCAGTCTCGAGTCTCTCGCGTCCAACGGGCATTACGATGGTCACGTACAGGGTGACTCGCGAGGAACAAATTCTTCAGTCAAATGAAAAACTTGCACTGAAAATGAAAGATTTCTATCTTAGGACCCGAATGTGATCGCGGGGAAAACCTTGTAACAGGATTCAATCGAGTTCTTTCGAACTAGAAGAAATTGGATGACAAGAGTTTGAGAACTTGACGTTCAAAAATCGGAGCGTCGTTCCTTTTCACATGTCGAAGCGCGAGTTATACGTGTGTGTGTCTAAATGTATATCGCGTAGCATCATCGTGCTAAGAACTTATTATTCTGTCGTAAAGAAATAAATAACGAATAATAGTATTCAGAAATACACTTATCGGAAATATCACAAACTACAAACACGTCGGATAACAAATCGCGCGGGTTCGCGTGACACGTCGCGCGGAATTAAATGCAGTCGTCTGATTTGAATATTGCATCGCGCTTTGCAGAAATCAAGATCACGCCTGCGGATTTCGCGCGATAACGTGACGGATCTCGTCGCCTCAAGCCTCACGAAGGTCTAGGATAGAAATTGCGTGTCGTGATCCAGTTAACCGACCGAGGCCTACATTCGCGGGAGATCGTCTACACCCCGCGTGCTCGAATAAGGTCGCAGACAATGAACTTCGCGTTCGTTACCTTCGAGCTACGTGAGCGGGACGAGGTGACGTGGCGATGCGTCTACTGTCGTTCGCGATCAAAAGAGTAACAATAATTGGAAATGCCCCTCTCCCTCGCCTCGCGCACGATATCACGAGCGAGGAGAGACACGCGAAACGTGGAAAGTGCCGAACGCTACAAGCGCCACGCCTTGACATTTTCATTTTATTACTTTTACTCTTTCGTACCATCCATCCTAACGTCGCTAATGGGTTATCGCTCTAAGTGCTGTTACACAAGGGATACGAGTCATCGATAAAGGAGAGATGATCCGTCTCAATTTGTTATTTTCGTGTCGAACATTCCACGTTCCATTTTCTGCCTAGCGATAACGAAAAAAAAATGCAACATCGAGAAGATTAAAGACTTCGCTGTACGAGATTTCTATGGAAATTTACTTAGCAACGTCGACTTGATAATTTGCAAGAATCTCAATATCTTAGTTAGTTTGCTTCATAATATACAAGTTGTATACCAGTACAAATTGGTGACAGAAAACAAGACAATTTTCTTAGTCACGACAGGTTTAGCATCTATGGTGCCGACAGTCTTGACTAATTGGATTAATTCGCGCGGGACTTGCACGGGAAAACGCGATTAAATATACCCTGCACGTCATAATTAATAATGAGTAAAAAGAATTAAAAACTAATAAGCTTCTACCGCGAGTTCTTTCGCGGAACTCGAAGAGTCGCGGAAAACACGATAAAGCAACAAGAAGCAAAGCGAAACCAAAGAAAGGGAAATAAGATGCGGGAGGAAAATCGTATATGCGATACGGCTATTTTCCTCGTGGAAACAAAGCGGATGAAAGTATTTCTTCCGGCAGGATATTAAATGTTGAGAAAGCTCGAGGATCATCTCGCGGCGCACGCACTTGCTTGCGTACATCATCTCGAAAATTCTCTCTCTCTCTCTCTCTCATGCGAAGAAAAACAATACTATATGCAATATCAACTTGGTATTAATCTCGTGAACGTCAAAGTTTTTCTGTAAAATAAACGATTCTTTCATTGACAATGGAAGATTTTTTTTTTTTCGAAATCACGTCTCCTCGTTTGATTTTCAGTCACAGAAAGTTGAGTTGGCGAGTTCGACGAAAAATAACCGAGTTGTCCAACTACTGAAATATCGGATAATATATTTTCCACGAGATGTGTCTGACAAAGTGCGGGATGACATTAAAATTCAACAAATTTGTCTCGGACAAATATGTGAAATGTACATTAAACTTGACAAAACGCACGCGATTCCACATGTGATTCTACGATGAGAAAGAGTAAACGTTTTAGAATCGGCCGTCTATTTATTTACGGTAGCTTTTATTTTTATTGTATTCGCGTATCCGAAAATTTCGTGTCGAAACGTATGTTGTAGCCATGTATCATCGCGCGTAATGACGATGTTCTGATACTGTGTGAAAGCGATTATGTTACAATTAATTATGAAATAATTGTGATTTCCTTCACAGAGAATTTTCAATTGGTACACATTATATCGATGATCGAAATCAACGCTATTATCATCCACGCGGCAATTTTATGCGAATTAGTATTCCTTTAATCTGTCGAGCGATTCGAGAGCGAACGATCGTAATTAATTGCCGAATATACATACACGTGTCACGTTCAGCGCAACGATGCGTGGGCATAATAACGAAACCCATCGATCAGCTAACCCAGCAACAAATTCGCGTTGTTATGGCTTAATGCTAAAACATTGAGGGCTTCACTTAGGAATTGTCTATCGAAATAAACCTATTATCGAATTAACTG